GCTTCCCAGCTCTAGTAGGGAGCAAATTCTGCCTATATCACCCAAACCAATTATAACCTCATGCAGCTCATGGACGGGTTATAAGGGGCTGGGAGCGTACGGTGGAAAGCTGGCACAATGTCCCTGGAATAGTTTGTGAATCAGCCTGGGTCCTCGGCGAACCAGAAAACATTTATTTTCATCAGTCCGCTCTGACTGCAATATTGTAAAATCTATAATCAAATATAGCTGGAATCAGTGTAATGACAGTGCATGTTCCTTCACAGGGCCTGGCAAGGTTACACTTTATTGTCGGATGAAATGGGATTTGACCCAGCTAATCAGCACACGCATTTTCTCCAAAACCCAGCATCATGACCGCTGCAAAATACAAACTCCACAAATATCGACTGTGCCAGCAAAAAATATTGTATGCTGATAACGGTATGCAATGAACACAATGATAGCATTCAATGGACAAATTTCTTTGTTTCTTTTAATGCCTTTATGTTTATTTTCTCACATTTCCATGCAGATCAGCCCCTGCTGCAGCATCCCACCTTGTGACTTGGCACAAAATTACAATGTAGAGTCTATATGATCACTAGGGGAGAAGAGACTGAGGAAATGCTAGCTCCTGCCTGCAGAAGACTGATGATATCATGTCACTGGACTGGTGCTTAGGGATAGATTTGTAATGATTAAAGGTGGAGGCTTTCTGGAAAATGCTATTGTTGCCATATTTTGTGGTTGTCAGATATTTTGTCATGCAGACCTGTAAAGGTCCCCTTTAAGACCCACAAAAAAGAGGAGTGTAACTTCAACAAAGTGTCTGGAACAATTAGGGCGTCTATTTCCTAGTAATGGGCTGTAGACTGAGCTGCCGCTGAAATGAGACTTTTCAAGTTGTGCCAAGCACTTGGACTGTGACATTGAACACCCGTCTCCTCTTTGCAGGAACAGTGGGCCATTGCCCTTGTTCTTGGTCTTTACCCGGCCTATGTACCACTCCTCATAATTACTGAAAATTGCAGCTCATTGAAGTTTTCTTGTGTGAAGAGGGAATGTTCTAAGGCATTCCTGAGCCTTTTAAGAAGCACAAATGGAGTCCTGGCCTTAGATGTAATTCTAATTCTAAATGCTCATAGTACAGTGGATCAGATGTACAGGTAATAAAATACCCATCTGATTTAAAGCGATAGCGTCTGTGAAAAAAGCCCCATCTGTCCCACTGATACCAACCACTCCAACGATCCCCAACCGCTCCCTCCACCATGGCAGCAAGCACCGATATACCCATGAGAGCCAAAAGGAGAGGTGACATTACCCCTATCATCACGTAAAGGTGACTGGAGCTTAGGTCTTTGCCACATTGGTGGCCTTTGGCGAGACTTTACGAGAACACAGTATGTGCGAACAGCCGTGGCCAGCAGCGGGGGGCTGCCAGACTTGAACTTGGTAAAAATCAATGGTCAATGCCATTGCTGTT